AAAACTCTACACAGAATACAAAATATATCAAAATAGAATATTATTTTTAACACATGCCCGGTCGTTGGAAGTATTTCCATTGATTATGAAAGCTTGTATATTTATAACCAATGGTACCTACCTTATGTATTGTATGGGTAATTATAAAACCGTGGAATAATATAATATACATTAATTATTGTTATGCATGCATTTAATAATATAATAAATATACATATGATAAAAATGTTGCATTTTTTGAATAGTTAAAAGACTCAAAAGAAATTGTAAGTTTTAATTTACCTTATTGAACGAACAACTACCTATAATATAATAGTATTACTTTTTTTAGAGTTTCTAGATAAATATGTTGTTTAGTTTACGTTTTAAATATCATTTCCAGAGTGATTGCCAAGAATTTCCAATACTAATTTTTAATATTTAATATAACCTATGGCCGTATTCTGAGCGTTGCACTCGTCTGGTGCATTTTGAAAATCAAAATTTTTTTTCACAGTTAGTGAATTTGCACTTTCAAAGTCATAACTATAAATTGTTCTATAGCCTGGCACTATAATATTGAAAAAGCAGATAAGTGGATGTCTCTCTGCTGTGCACATTAATTGTCTAGGATTTCGCTGTAATAGATAGTATTACATTTTATTTCAATGATATTATATCATTGCATATGAAAAAGGATTCTGAGAGGAGACGTAATGTCAGTCTCGGATATTTTATTTTGATATTACTTTTTATTTATACTGTAGTTGGTATGTTGAATTAATATTTTTCATATTATTATTCTAAAATTATCCGTGATGCTGGAAAAATATTATATTCACTTACTTGAAACTGGTTTATCTTTTAACCGAATTACAACAAAGTTATTAGAATCTTTATTCTTTGTGTTAATTTGTAATTCCGTCTAAATTTGAACTTAAAATAACTATAAAATAAACATGTCTATGTATTTTTTTATATTTTCGAACCGATATTGTAACAATGTACCAGGAGCCTTGTATTTTTTATATTTTTTTTTTGCGATAGAGGTAGTTTCTTTAATCGAGGCCACGTAACACGACGTTTCGGAGTATGATTTTACCTCATCCGCCCGAGTAACCAATAGCAACCATTTATATATAACAAAATCGGATGGGTGGTCGGGTATTTTGTGACAAACCTTTTTCTTATAATATAAAGACACTTGTTTCTCAACCAACAGTAAGGTACGTAATGCACAAAAAGGTAGATTTTCAATGCCTTGTGCACTCTTAGAGAAGAAGTGTAGTTTAAATAGTATTGTAGTATAATAAAAATCTTAAATTTTGATCAATATGTATGTGCTTACCAGACAGATGTCACAATATTATTATATTGTGATAACCTTATAAAAGTCTGAGCATATGATTTTAACTAAAAATAATAATTAAAGCCTCTCTGAGTTCTGACCGTCTGAAATAGTCTACATTTAGAAATTCTGCTGTGAGAATAAATATATTAGTATAATATCGATATACAGCAGTAGCAGTATACGTAAATAGATTATATTTTTCATCGTTGTCGCTATTTGAATAATAAACATTGTTACCGATGAAAATGTCTCATGGTTTTGTCGTTGTTTGTCATTAATATTGTTTTTCCAGGCGCAATATTATTTGCGTCTTTCGAGTTTATACTGTGACAATATTATGTTAAACCAACCGTTTTGCTCCAAGTCAACTAGCGTTCAAAAATATTACATACCATCTCCTTGGTTGTCGTTGTGTGTAATAATACAATGAATCGTATACTTCACGCAGAACTCATTAAACAGTCACATTGACTGTAGCATTTTTTTGATTTAATATTTCTGATATAATTGGTACAGTAATTTTTTTTCGTATAGAATGGCGTCAGGGAAAACCTATTAGTTATCTAAGCTCCGTTGTTTGCTCACTTTGTGTTGAATAAATAAAAAACAGACTGCTACAGCTAGGTTCATTATAATATAATTTATTACAACAAAATATTATTATAGAAGACAATATTTTAATTTCCACTGTAAACTACTACAATATTTTGATATACTATAATAGTATATGTTTATGTCTATTACATACACTAATATAATATAGAATATATCGTTTCGCAGATTACACAATTAAATAATTTAAAAAATATGACTTTAATATTAATTGGTCTTAGTATATATATATGTCATAGTTACATAAACACATAATACATATTACATTCACATGTTGCTGTATAAAGTATATAAACTATTGCGTACCTACGATACATTTTATGCTTGGATGCGTTTTTCACTCTTATCATAATATACTAGTAAGTACATTGTATTTTATAAATTAAACTAATTTTTTTAAAGCATTTTTTTTATTTTTCAATTTTTTTAAAGAGATTTTGGAATTACCTATTGAAAGAAACTTCGAAGAAACTTTTAAAATATGCTTTGATTTTGCGATTTACAACTTACATTAAGATCTGGATAAACATAAAGTATTATCGGTGGATTGGTACATGTATATTGTACACATTTAATATAATTCACTTGCGTGGATATAAAATATGTAGCAAACAGGCAATAATTATAATATATAATAATTTAATTTAATATTATTATGATTTAGAATTTGATTACATGGAGATAATAGTATAACATTGATTCGCTTACATTTCTACGTCGATTGAATGACATGAATTTTTTTTGTTACCTAATGCTATTAATATACTATTGTAATACATTTATAAATCGTTTTTGGCGATGCGAAAACATATTATTATTATTGTTACATAAATATATTAAATACAATCACGTGGAGTAACGCCACAGGAGTTTCAGGATTTCAATAAGTAAAATATAATAATCGTTAATTGAATAATGTGAATTATTAGGCATAAATAAAAATGAAATCAATCATCACAGCAGTAATGGTGACAATTTTTTACAGTAAAATATTTTATTATTAATTGGTCTATTGTAATCGTCAAAACTTTCACGCAACGACGACGACGACCGTATCGTGGTAGTCTGAAATTATAATGATTTTTCGGCGACTCGATTTTCGTTTTCTGCATACATATTATTATAACATAATCCAAAAAGAAACTCATGACATACAATATTATTATAATAATCCCAGCCAGCGTCTTCACTCGTCGCAGTATGCAATTTACAACTATATGCCAATATTACATAGTAGGTACAATAGATATATTTCATTAATTAGGTTCTATGGAAAGAACGAAGATACATATAAAATCACTTTAACTGTCATTATATTAAATTTGTGTCTTATGATTCGTGTGACGTTTTCGGGTGAATATATAATAATATAATATGTAAAATAAATATCAGGTACTATATCGACGTGACAACGAGTACCAAATATATTATTATATTTCAGTGTTTTGTAAAATGTATACCTGTACATTATTATACGCACCAAATGACGAACGCATAATGGCGTGTCTGCCGTAGAACGTCTGAGGATCTCCGTGTGAACGAGGGGAGTAGGTGACGAGTTGAGACTTGTACTTGCATTTAAGACAGTTCTCTTGGGGTTAATCAGTCACCACGTATAACTATACGCATGACGTGATTTAATCTGACGTTATGACTGTGAGACGGAGTTGTTTTGGAATGGGGGGGGGGGGGAGAGAAATCGACGGTATAAGTTGAGTATGCCAATTTATGACATGAGGGCACTGGAGGGGGGACGTTCAGACACGTATCGGGTGATCGCCAGAAGTAAGGGACGACAAAAAATACAGTTGTTCCTACACGGACACACATTCAATACATGACTACGATATTAAAAATAAAATTAATAATAACAATATAGAAATAATTATAATATTGACAATAATAACATATACTACAACTTCTACTACTAATAATAATAAAGTTATGACAACGAGAGTGGGGTAGTTTAAATTACATAAACGTTGTGAACGCAGTCCGAGCAACGAACTCGTATTTAGGTGGTCGTTGTAGGTATGATTAGGTATGTGTATGATGAATGTGTTTTCACATTTTCCGTGTTAAGTGCGTACGCTTATCTCCTGTCTCTTCTTGCACCGTTGCCGAGCCAAATAGCACAGAGCTATCGTTATAAGTATGACGATGGCTATGCTCATGCCAATGCTGATCCATATGACTTCCTCGTTGAAACCACCGGACGCGTGCCCTGCAAAAAACACCGTCAAACATAATACCTCAATAATTATGTGGGTAAATTACATACGATACGGCGTACAGACTTCGAAAGGATCTGTCCCCCACCTCTGTTTTGGAACAGAAAATTAGGCTTTTATCTAATTCGCATCTGATAATACCAGCTATCCACGAATATACCCACCTAAAAGCTAAAACCGCATATTCTAAGACACCATAATTGGGATTTATAATTGTTTTTTTCGAGAACGAGTGTACTAAAGATTGGTTAAACTATATAACAGAAAGTAATAAAAAGTAAAGTTAACTCGTCAAAAATAATTATGTGAAAATAAAGATTTAACGACAAAAACGAACGATAAGATTTTTATGTAATTTAACATTATTATTCATTTATGTGGCGATACAGACTTCTTTTTTTCAATCGAAAATAACCCTGTTTTATCATAAATTGTTAAGGAGGTGATTTTTTATTGTTGAGAATTTTGGATTATATACGTAGGTATATTTAGTTTCTAAGTTATTAACGCCTTGATGGCAGTATATGCTATACCATTCATGACTTTTAAAGTTTTAAGTTCTGCCCGACTTCTATACCAATGGAATCCTAATCATTTCAACATTGGAACTTTCAAACTGTCCTAAAAGGGGCTGTTTAGTTGGCGATGCTATAGCCATGCCCATCAAATACATACAAGTTACAACTTACTTTAACTAGAGTTATTAATATACATTTCTTAAAATTGTCCTAGTATACAGAGTAGAGTTTTAATATTAAATGAAACATTTAATTTATGTAAAAAATAAATCTTAAATCAAAAAGAAAAATTAATATCTGGTTAAATTGGTGAGGACTTGGAGTGAGATATTTTTAAAAGTGTGTTTATTCGTTTATTGTATGAAACAAAGATAATCATCCACCATAGAATTTAAGCATATATTAAAAATCTGATTCAAAATTGGTAGTTAAAAGGATTGTTCTCATTTGAAAAATAAAGCATGTATCACCACGGTGTACTTAAATGGTAAAAGCAAATCTAAGTACAAGGTTATTGGAAAATAAAGTATTTAACTTTTAAAGTTTACATACAAATTTTAAAAATCAGAGTTCAAATAGATGCATTATTAAAGAATAAAGGGAGCTAGTGTGCTTGGTGTATCGCCTTGTGGCCTGCGTATACGTGATATTTGATTTTAATTCTTTATGATGGTGTTTGAACGAATAATAAAACATCTGTAACGAAGGATAGTTGAGAAAATTGCCTCGGGATTGTTAGCGTTTTTCATACACTCTTATTATATAATTCATAATGTTATACGTTGTGCGTAGGAGATAGATTTAACGAGTAGATTCAATCAAAAACTCCAAACGGAAGGCCAATACAGCAACTATAACCAACTGTTCATTTTCTTTTGTTTTAACAAAAATACATTTCTTAGTAGGTATCTCTTTTTCGGAAATTAAAACTTTTATTAACAATCAAGGCTATTGAAATAAAATTATATACAGAGTTTCATTCCACGTATAATTGTCCATCAATCATAATACATTTTTCCAATTGAGATGGTATAGTACAATTAATAAAAAATATATCAACTATCTACCCAAAACATATTTTTCAAGTGTACATCTACCTATTTCGACTATTCAAGCAAAATATGACAAAATATGTTTTAAATACGTCCTTGCAGCTCTCTCAGTTCAATATGTTTTTCAGAATATTCTATCAGTAGGCTAATATAAATAAATCATAAAAAAAAATTCCCATACAAATATAGTAATCACTTTATTACAAATTACAATATAATATAAAAAACAATCAATAAAATATAAAAAACATACGAACTAAACAGTCGTAAGTTGCATTGATGCCTATTGTTTTTATTGACTTCAGAATGTTGGTAACCTAGCCACTGCAATTGTATGAATATATTATTGTATTCAAATACCCATGACTCGATTTATATCCATAACCCAGTTTTTTGACATCGTCTTTAAATCCAAAAAATAATGCATACAAGATTATGAAGTATTTTAAATCTATTAACGAAATCAATTATTATTAGTTAGAGTTAAATCAAAATAATCAAATAATGACAAAAACAAAAAAACATTTAAAAAAAATCATTTATTCAACAATTCACAGTAAAATAGGTTGATTCCCTACATTTGAAAAAATAAATGTATATCGCCAGTCTACGGAATGAAAAGTAAAATAAGTATTCTAAACAATTTAATTAATTGAAAATAATATGTATCTTAAGTGTAATTAAAAGTTACAAAAATCTGAACTTGAATAGTAAATTTCATTATTTAAAAACTGGTACCATGCTTGGGGCTTGTTGCTTAATTTAATTAAATCCAAAATTATAGTTAAACATATTATAATACAATATAAATATAAATAGTTATAAATTTGTTAATAAAATAATTTTCGTAATATTTCATTCATACTCAAACATAATCCTAAAATGGTAATAAAATATTTCATAAAATCGAGAAAAATATTTGATATAATATATATGTGCCCCGTAATGTTGGTAATAAAATAATAACATTATAGTAACTAACGAACATGGGTTTCTACAACAATTTATTAAATAATTAAGGAACACGGTGTATGGATTTTGCTGCCTCGTAACTCATGAGGATATCACCAACAGCATAATATCACTGTACAATTAAAAAACAACAACCTGTGGCTCTATTTACTGCGAAAATTCCATAAACCAATACTTAAAGCTAATATTATTTTATAGTTGCCCAATAGTAATTAAATAATGTAACACAACGGCGAGCGGTATATTCACAGGGCATAATATATCAGTATAATATTTACCGTCGCTAGATCCACCCGAATTGTGTACGCCGACACCTTTGCCGGCCACTCTTCCTCCGACCGGCATTATCGATTGCCCGAGGACGACCGCTGGAGCGTAACTTTTGAAAATCCCTACTGCGACCTTCCCCAGCCGCCGCCGCCACCGCCGAATGATTAATCCGTTATCTGAGGAAGAAATTATAACGATAATGAATAATTATAATAATAATAATAATAACAATTATGATCGTGAATGTTAATAACATTAAAAAAATATGTATAATATAATATGAAAACGGTTTATAATTAATTATTTTGTATTTTAGTATAATATTATGTATATTCCAAGCACCGTCGATTCATTTTCCATAACCGGAAATGAATCTGTGCTAATATAATATACCGTATTCGACGTATTAATAATAATATAGTAATGATATAATGTGTACTATATTATTTTATGTTAGTATGTGCACGTCCCGGGTCACATCTTTTTCAAACTTTACTATAAGTAGTTATATTATATTCAATACGCTTTTGCTCACACGAGGTCATGGGGATTTTGTACTGTAATATCCAATCGACTTTTGACTTATATACTATAAGAAAATATTGAATCTTGGCTTTGAAAATGTGTCAGTATTATAATAATATCATGTATTCGTTTAATAATAAATTGTATTATATTTTTCAGATTATAATACTCCCCTTTAGCTACTACTCTACTTTTAGGATGTGACCTCTTTCAGTGATGTGCTCTAATACAGTTTAAGACATTAATACCACTGTGATATATTATAAGCACCGAAGTTAGGTCAATTTGTACTTAGTAGTGATTGGATCCGAGGAGTAAGAACTAGAAAACACCTTAAAAATCGAAGAGTAGTGATATTATATTATGATACAAATAGGCTGAAAAAAAAGTGAAAGTAGCAAACGTATTGCTTGAAGACCGGTGATGTAAAATAATCGATGATAAATTATATGATTTGTCTAAAGAATAGAGAATACAAAAATTAGAAGTAAAAATATAAAACAAAACCTATAAACTATTTTAAAAATGTTAAAAATTAATTTTTTGGTTATATTTTTACTATAACTGGTTGAGTTAGTTATAATAAATAATAAAACAATCATATTATAGTGTTTTTTTAATAGATTCAAAATAATAATTTTGTTTATCAAAGTAAATGGTAAATAGAAAAAAAAAATAAGTCATTATAATATGAAATTTTATATATCATTTTTAAGCCATCATAGCTAACACTAGAAAATAATAATAAAAAAAAATAAAAATGAAAATATAAATAATAGAACCCATGAATAAAAGAACATATTACCTATATTACCTTATAATTTAAACATTTGCCTAACTTAAGAAATAGTGATGCCAAACATTTACTAATAAACCATGTAAAAATATTGCTTTAATAATTTGCTCGTTGGAGTATGTTATACTTTAGTTTCAGAAAAAAAAATCCATAAAAATCTAATAATAGTTAAACAATAGTGAACATAAAAACGATGAATTTCAAACCCAATTAAAATTTAATTGTATTTCTATTTTAAGACTTCAAAACGTAATATGTGTTTTAAAAAGAAATTTAATAAACTATAAAACGAAAAAAAACTAAAGATTAATTCAATGAGAATACCTAAAATACTTATTAAAAGAAAATTATTAGTACATCGATTATTTTCTGGCATAATGAGATCAGTTTGGGTTTCGAAAAACATTTAATTTTATTTAAGCTATTTGAATTTATTATTATTTAGTCAATACATTTCGATATTTTCTGTGCATTTTATTTTGTAATTTACAATTTTTTTTTTCTAAATCTTGAAATATATTAATTGTTCTCATAGCTTGGAAAAAAATAATCAACTATAGTTGGTCATCATTAAATATTATTTTAGACAAATGTTTAAATAAATATAGGTAATACATGCCTTTTTTAATGCATTCAATTTTCAAATTAAAATTTCTTATTTTTTTGCACAACAATAATTTATGTTATTAACAAATTGTTGTTTATCCATTTCTTCTTAAACTGTTAATAAAATCAGTAATTGTATACTATTGTCTAATATACTATGCTTGTCGTGTACTTACTATACATTTATTTTAATATAATAAAGTAAACGCACTTCAATAATTGGTTCATGATAGTAACGAGTAGAAACGTACTAGTATAATAAATATAATTATTAATCTATGTAAGGACAATAACATTATTCGCATGCACCATAATGGCATGGCAATGGTAGTTATAATTGGGTTCACGATTATGAAAATATATTTTTTATTATTGCTTAATGCTTATGCACATTAGATAGACAGAAAGAGGACGTGTCGGTGGACTCTCATGGTATGATTATGGGCTGTTCTTGAAAAAATCTTTTAAATTTATTCTCTTGTCGTGTGTGGTAGTGCACTATCTGTAGGATGTTGCGTGAAGTATGTCCATCACTGGCAATTCGTGTATACCAACGACCAGAGAGCGCTTTTTACACTGTCATTTAGTGTTTTATTTTTATACCACATTTTTATTCCCCATTATTATTCTATACGAGGATAAAAATCTTAAAAATATTATACCGTATTATTAATATACTACTATTAAGTATTGGTATATTAATAATACATTTTCATCATTTCATCATGGGCACTTTTACTAGTTATACTCAATCACTACAATTTTGCAATAGCGTTCCCAGTGGACATCCCTTGGGGGTTTGAATACTAAATTTATTAAAGGAGGCAAAGTTGTATGCGTGTAATTTTTATAATTTGCTCATCGAGGTAAAAATTGTCTTGAGCCTTTGGAAAATCTATTATTGATACCCATCATCGCCAGTATTTAAATAAAAATGTTGCAATTTAGTTCGTTTTTTACAGAGAGCTTAAGTGCATATCGCACGTGGTAAGTTTCCGATTAATCACAATGAATGAGTTATCACACTGCAGCAACTATTTTTGTTTTAGTGTATACAAAGTGTGTAGTCCTAAATAATTAAAGGATTTGAGAAATCTCTATTTGGTTAATATTTATCATTATAATGATATGAACTAGTTTACCTGTAAATCACTCCACCTATCTGTATAGTACGATCTCGATGTACAAACTGTGTAGGTAGTTTTAGTTTTTATTAAAAAAATAAAATAAATAAACTGGGGCACTGCGCGGGTAATTAAATATTTGGATATTATAGATATCAGTAAAATATATTAAACAATAACCAAACACTCCCTACACCGATTACAAAATATATTCTAAGATTATTTTTAATACAAAACAGGTAGAAAATTACCTTTCTATGCGTTGTGTTGATAGTAAAATTGTAGACATTTCGTGTTTGAACGAAAACCGAAACTATATCTCAGTATCTCATATATACATATAGAAACACGTCTATAAGTCTATATTATATAATAATACATCAGTAATACTGATTCAGTATGGCTTATAATATATTCTCTACGTCACTAATTGTCTAACAGGGACTCTATTATACATATATATGCACAGTGCACACGTATAATATAATACCTATACAAACTACTGTTCACGATGTATAATTAATTCCTCGAGGCTTAAACTGAGCTAATGGATTTTCCGTTGGCTTTTTGTCATGTATACGTGAAATTGCATAAAACACCTTTGGCGCGTGGAGAATTTCAATTAACACTATTATTATATTATTATACCAAAATCATCACAGAAAGAAAAAATATCGGACAATCAATACATATTAGATGAAATAATATTGTTATTAGTTAACTTTAAAAACAATTTTTGAATACATAGAAACAAAATTATTATTCAGATCCAATACATAAATTGAAAACCATTTTGCTAAGACTGCATTTATTCAGATTTGATAGATCTATATTTGATATCTGATTTTTCTATATACCCTTCCAGAAACTAAAATAGCCTGTATGTGTCGGGTGCATGTATTTAAATTTTATTATTGATGAATCAAAATTATTGTGCTCGTAATATTTTTAAACTCTTATTTGTTAAACCTTTTTTCAAATCCCTATGTACACGCTAGACGGTTAAATGTATACATTAATACAATTATTTTTTAATTAATAGTTTATTTTAATAACACGTGATTTAGTTTGTTCGTATAAGTTTACCGTTGAGTTTTTGTAATTGTCCAACAAGTTATGAAAACATGCATTAAAATAGTAAATAGTTGTAGGAATGAACACTATTCCAATAACATTAATTAAAAACAATCAATGTATATTATAGTTGTATTCTGAAGACATTTTTTTTATTTTTCATTATTTTTGAAATGTATAAGTATATATTGCACTTTGTATTTTTCTCAGAAGCTTAATGCGCATTTCGTATTTTCAGTAGGTACCTACCCAAGTTTGACTTATTTTGTATTATGTATTTTGCCCATCCCCGAATAGTTGAATTATTTTGTCCTCGAGACGAAATTTTTACGTATGTATTATACGCACATAATACCCGACTATTGAATAGGTCCATCTCGTTAGGTTAGGTTAACCTAACCTAACCATCCCTGCAAAGGAGTTCGATATTATAAATATTATGTACCCTACGTCGTTTCACTTCAAGGCAATCCCGAGAAACATTATATACTTACTAGAAACTAAATAAATCTTGTAAATCTATACACACCCCACGTGACCGAGTTTCAAGTAGCATATAATGGAAGATATATGGGAATATCAGAATATGATCAATTCGCGGGCTGCGATATTATATTTAACCGACCGGAAGGCGACGGCCCAGAGAAAATGCCAAAAACACAAAATCACTTATATTCTCAAATGATCTATTTAGATTGAACGACCACTATTAAATTCACCCAGATGGTCAGTATATAGTATAATGTACATATTGGGTAAACAGTATCACGTTCCGACAACGTTCTCTCGTATCGAGTGGCTACATAAATATTGAATGTTCTGTAAGTCTTAAACGTCTCAATATAGCCTGCAAAGCTGGGTTCCGGTTACGTGTAGATTATCCACGGTACCAATAAAATATATACAGAGGACCACGACAACAATTATTTATAATCCTGTATTAGCATGATCACGGTATAATTTTATGTACCCAAGTTTGAGACACTCACAATATACAGTGGACTATAAATAGTGTCGAGCTCGGCTTTTATGAAATGATGCGTGGATAGGC